CGTAGGACTATAGTCACAATAAATGCATACATTCATTCTGCTTCATTATAACGGGCTTATGCTGGGCAATTTAAATGGTTTTAATCATGAACAATTAGTAGTATATGATGATTTGAAATCAGTAAGTGCATAGTCATATCATGTCGAAATATTTAATTTCAGTTTTACTAACTATTTTACATTATTGTTAAATAGATTGATAAATACATGTTACATGAAACTTATCAATTTGGAAAAGTTGTCGAATCAAATTACGATGATTTCTTATTTAATAAAGGTATGCATTAGCAGCTGTTCTAGGAAGAAACCTATATTTTTCAATATTGATAATATACAATTTTCATTTTTATCGGATTTTTTCCCTTAATTTAGTTGTACAGACATTGAACAACTTCACAAACGTATTATTGTCAGCATTCTACTTTGATATTGTAAAAGACAGATTATATGCTGATCATGCGCTAAGCATTAGTAGAAGGAGTGTTCAAACTGTTTTATACAACGTGAGTTAACATAAAAAAAAAAAAAAAAATCTAGTGTTGATTTAATTTTATCATTGTTGACAGAATTAAATTCGTTAACAAATTTTCTTGCTACTAACTGCATATATATATATATAAAGATTCTTAATGTATATACAAGATCACTAGCACCAATGATTCCACATCTGGCAGAAGAAATATACGAGAATTACAAGAGTATTGATCGTGAACAATTTGATAGTATATTTAAATTAAGATGGTATAATATGGTATGTAACATGTATTAAGTAAATTATTATAAATTGCTAAATCTATTTTTCGTTGTAGAATAAGGAATGGGATAACCAAGCGATTCAAAAAGAGTGGAATATTTTGAAATCATTGAGAAATGAAGTGAATCAGCTATTAGAGGTAGCTAGGAAGGATAAGTAAGTTAAATTATATATTTATATTTCATAAAAAATAATATAAAATCACGTAAAAGCTTATTCATATTTCAAATTGCGGATTCTTAACCGATCAATTTAAGAGTAATTAAAAGCTCACTAGAAGCTAATGTGGAATTATATGTGACTTCTGACTTATATGAATTACTATTAAACCATGGTAAATGTTTATGAAAATATCACGCAAACTTGATTGGTTAGCCAATTACTGTTGTAAATTTTGTGTGACTTCTATACTCAATTATATTACGTATTTTTATTGTTAAAAGAACCAGAACTTAAATCAATATTTATCACATCCGAAGCAACGCTAACGCCTAATGTACCACCATTCCTACCACAAGCTATAATCAAAAATAACAACGCTAAAGATGATATTAACTACATTAAAAATATTGATAGTATAGACAATATAAAAGGGACATGTATAATTGTTATAAGACAGGCACGAATGTATAAGTGTCCGAGGTGTTGGAATTACGCTGCTAATAAGGAAGAAAGTTTGTGCCAGAGATGTGAAGAAATTTTATCTACTAACTCTATTGGGTGAACAGGATTTATCAATTTTAAACTATATACTAATTTTGGAACAAATATTTTTAGAATTAACAAATTATTACTCAATATAATAAATAGAGTTACACGAATTTCCTCATGAAATGCACCATATAAACAGTGAACTAATTTATATAGAAATGGTCTATGATCAAAATTTTCTTTAAACGATGACCGAAGCGACAACTCAAAAACGTAGACCTGGAAGTAAGCTTTCAAAATTTAATTGCCATAAATTAACTAAATAGTATTATGAAATAATCGAACTATTCGTCGATTCAAATTTTAATGATGATTTAATGACGTTTAGATTCAGCTTTTAAACAACAACGTCTGAGTGCGTTCCAACCAATTATAACACCAAAAACTGTATTTCCAGTATTCCTCGTAATTGCTGCGATATTTGCCCCATTGGGTGGAATTTTGTATTATCTTAATGATAAAGTGAGAATTTATATAATTAATTAACGGCGCATAAATTATTTATTAAGATAAATATTTTCGGTTATAGGCTTCGGAATTGTCTATAGATTATACACATTGCGAAACGGACGCACCAATTGACTTTGGTTTGATACCTTCAAAATATGTAACCGATTCTATGAGATCCAAATCCCCACTAAAAGATAAACAACTTCCTAGATGGAAACAATCGAACATTACTATTCTTCCAAATTATATAACGATTACTCAATGTTCCATTCGTTTTTATATACATAAAGAAATGAAACCTCCTGTATATTTATATTATCGTCTTACAAATTTTTATCAAAATGAAAGAAATTACGCTAGAAGTTTGGATACAGATCAACTTAAAGGAAAGGTTATAGATAAAGAGAAAATTAAACGTGGTGGTTGCAAGAGCCTTGGAATTCTTCATGGTACTATAATATATCCATGTGGATTACTTGCAAATTCCATGTTTAATGGTATGTTTAATGTTCATTTGAAATATGTTTTTAATCATATAAAGATATTATCTAATATTTGTTGTTTTCATTTAGATACCATAGGAAATCTTACTTTAATCAACGATGAATCACTACAAATTACAAATGTAACATACAATTTTTCTTATACCGGTATTGCACCACCTGCAGACGCAGCAAAATATAAATCTACTGGATATAATATTAGTGAAATTCGACCACCTTCAAATTGGGTAGCAAGATATCCAAATGGTACATATACAGACGAATATCTTCCAATAGATCCATCAAAAGATGAACATTTTCAAGTTTGGATGCATACAGCTGGGCTTCCGATTTTTAGAAAACCATATGGATTGAACGAACATATGCCATTACAAGTTGGATATTATCAAATAGACGTTGATACAGGTGTGTTTAAAAAAAAATATACAGATATAGATATATATTTTCTTGTAAACTTTGATTTTTCAATTGTGCTAAAAAAATTTTTTGAAATATTTAATAGTTTTTCCTGTCAAAGGTTATGGTGGTACTAAATCCATAGTAATATCAACAACTTCCGTTGTCGGTGGTAGACATCCGTTCCTGGGAATGGCTTATGTAGTAGTGGGCGTATTATGTGGGATGATTGGTATTTTATTGGCCGTTGAAAGTTACTTTAATTCTCGCAAGTGAGTATACTCATAATAGCATACCTATATTGCCATAGTTTATAAACGTTACTAATTTACATATATTCAATTTATAGAAGAATGGATCGTAGATATGAATCTATGAAAACTCGAAATAGCCAAAAGAATATTAATCAACACAATAAGTAATATTCGGTTTTGAGAACCGATCAATAAAATGGTATATAATAAATAAACAATTTTTAATCGGATGTTAATATTTAATAATAGTCTTGAAATCAATAATCAATAATAGGTTCTTTTAAATGTTAACAGACTTTATAAAAAAAAAATATTTCAAATGACTCGTAGGACTATAGTCACAATAAATGCATACATTCATTCTGCTTCATTATAACGGGCTTATGCATGGGTATTTAAATTATTTTTTTAGAAAGGTGTATTTCGCTATTAAAAAATTTTTTAGGTGAACTCGCCTCGTTATGTGTATTGTGGTACTTGACCATAATTATGTTAATAATTGTCATAGCTCTACCTAGAGATGCTGGTGAAATTACCACACTAGTTCAATTTCACCACTGTCTTTGCCGATTGCGATATCGGTTATTATCATCCTTGCGCCGTTCTCGTCGTTCTTCAACTACAACAGTTTGATTTCCAAAACCAGGAACAGAAATTTGTCTTTGATAAAGTGCTTGTTGATAAGCATCTTGAGAATAGAATTCCACAAAAGCACATGACTTTATCCAATAATCAAAATGAATAATTAAAATAGTAATAATTAAAATAAGAGTTTCGTGTAAAAGATACGTACCTTAGCAGGCACAACATCGAGATTTTTTACAGGTCCGAAGTAACTAAACGCGCTCCATAGTGCGTCGCGGTCTATTCGCTCCTTACCAACTTTAACATAAAGGGTAAAATTGGGGTTTCTTTCAATTCGATATTCTGGAGATCCACCTGTAAAAAATTAAATATAAACCCTACTATTATTTCATGATCAAAAGATTATCTAGATAGTTAACCGGATATTATCAAAATGCTATTCGGATACTATTTAGATTTAAAAATGCCAAACAGATAATCATAAAATTATCCGAATTGTATCAGAATCTAACCATTACCTCTACGTTGTGAACTCATTCCGTTATGTGTATTGTATAGAGCTTGACTATAATTACGTTGATAATTGTCATCGTTCTGCCGATTGCGATATCGGCTATTATTGTCCCTGCGACGTTCTTGTCGTTCTTCGACTACAACAGTTTCATCTCCAAAACCGGGAACAAAAATCTCTCTTTGCTGGAGTACTTGCCGATAAATATCTTGAGAATAAAATTCTACAAAAGCACATGACTATCCAATAATCCGAATAAATAGTTAGCAGTTAGAATAGTAATAATTAAAAAAAAATTAATGTAAGAGTTTCGTAAAAGATACGTACTTTAACGGGCACAACATCAAGATTTTTTACAGGCCCGAAGTGACTAAACGCGCTCAATAGTGCTCGATGGTCCATTTGTTTATTACTAACTTTGACGTAAAGGGATAACACTATAAAAAACAAGTTCTTTTTTCATTAAGTATATATCTGAATGCATTTAATCTCAAAAATAAAACTGCATCAAGGTGTAGTCCCAATTTTTTAGAAACAGTTCTAAACCAAACACCCTAACCTAATGCTAATTAAATAAATAATTCTGGCATACGTTCGGACTGCTCCCTGCTGTTGTTTAATATTCATTACACAAATACCTCGATTAGAATGCCGATCTCTTGGTGCTTCTCGAGCATTTGAATGTGCTTGCGTTAATTGAGATGTACGGATAACTCGACCCTTATGAGGTTTAGCAAACCGTGAGGCGTCCCATTTATTACTACCATTAACGGTAGTAGATAGATTTACTGTTTGCATAACGACTTGTGTAGATTTTTTTTCACTTGGACCAGATTTTATTGATTCCGTAAGTTCTTCTGTAACAGAATTAGGAACGTATGTCTTCTGTTTCAGATTTTGTAACTTCTGGTCAGGGACGACGGTTTTCTGTGTTTTACAGAAAATCACAGAATTTCTCTTAAAAACAGGCAATTACAGAAATTGACCTTAATCACACAAAATAACACACATCATAAAATCCATGCAAGATATCTCAATTAATTGTACGTACATACGTTCAGTACGTACGTAATATCAGACAATCGAGCATGGTCAAACCCCAAGCTTCTATTGGCCATACACAAATCAAAATTCCGATTGGATGCAATTGATGATTCTTAATGCACAAATCAAAATTCCGATTGGATGCAACTTTCAGAATGCCGTTGGCTTCTTGCAATTTTGGCAAGGCAACAATGGCAAGTAGGGTTCTGCAAATGCTGGGCACGTACTATTAAAAATGGTGCCTGGGCCTGTGCCTGGCACTATGTTTTAATTGTGCCCGTGCCTGGCACTTGTAGAACCCTAATGGCAAGGCATGGTAGGCAAGGAGTAATAATTTGACAAGGTAATAAGATCTGATTGGCTATCTTAATATATACACATAAACTTAAGTATTATAGATAAATTAATATAATTTTAATTAATAATTTTAATTAATAATAGTTTATCTTTGTTTTTTTTTATTTATGAATTTGCCGTATACAATCTTTTTTTTAAACTATATAGTATAGTTAATAATTTTATAAATCTTATATAAATTTTACTATATATTACTATAAATTATCAAAACAAATAACTGTATATAAGATTTTAGATTATAAAATTTAGAGAATTACTATAGGACAGGTGAAACCCGCGTTGATTTTGTAGATCAGTGTGGATACGAAAAGGGTGAAACTCGCGTTTTCTAGGTTACTTTCTTGATGCGGATCTATTTTTAATTAGATTTAGGTAGTGATGTGCATCAATAACGTAACCACTTCCGACGTGTGTTTCACCCTGTCATATTACTATTTGTACCCAGTGAGTATAACACCTATTATAAGAAAAAAAAATCAAAAAATCAAAATTTTACTAAGGTAACTAAATGTAGGTATCTTAAGTAAAATCATTTAGCACCTAATTTTGTATATAATTACATATATTTCTAAATCTAACTCTAACCTTAATATATGACTTTATACCAGGTGTTTGATAAGTCCCTGGACAGGACCTTTTTATTGATCACTTTAATTATCAGAACTATTACATTTTTTATTAGTAAAAAGGCCTATCTAAAACTTTTTAAGTAAATAACAAAAAGGTCCTGTCCAGGGACTTATCAAATACCCGGTATAATTATTATACTGGATATTATATCTTATGAGTAAAGATAGTAAATTTCTAAAATTTATTAATTATATTATACTACTATAATATAATCAATTTTATTAGTAGATATTTTATTAGTTAAATTTATATTATTATATTTTATTAGTAAATTTTTATTA